CCCCTCACGCCTCCGCTGCAGCCTGCCAGGGTCCTGCCAAGGGGGGCACTCCCTCGCCTTCTCCTGGTCGGGTGACGCCCTGAACTCCATGGACCCCGGGACCCTGAAGTCCTCAGAGCTCATTCTCACCCCACGGCCCCAGGACCACAACACCAGCCTCACCTGCCAGGTGCAGCTCGCAGGAGCTTGGGCGACCACGGAGAGGACCATCGGGCTCCGTGTCTCCTGTGAGTGTGGGGGACGGCTGGGCCCCCAAAAGCAGTGGGAGTTGTGCATGCGCGTGCGTGTGTGTGTGTGTGTGTGTGTGTGTACGAGGGAAATTCAGAGGCGGTGCCGCCACCTACCAGGTCCCACAGCCTCCTGCTGTTCACCCTGATGCACTCCCACGTCCGTCTGTCTCCCTGATGCTCCACAGAACTTCAGCATCAACCTCTTCTTCAGAAAAGGCTTGGGAAGCAAAGATCCCACCCCCACTCTGGGGCTGGGATTTGCGGGCAGACTCTGCAAGCTCAGGCTTCAGGACAGGGAGCCGGGAGAGTCCCTCGGTGCTCGGTCCCAGGGCTCCCTGGGCCTCGCCCGTCACACCCGGGAACGCCTGCACGGGGCCTTCCTGCCTTCTCTCTCCCTTCTCCTCTCCTCATTTCCTTTCCCTTTCTGTCCTTCCTTCCATCCTTCCTTTCCATTTGTTTCTCTTTTTCCACACTTATTTCCAGGTCGGGTAAGGTAAGTATGGAAAGTTTACCATCTTAGCCACGCTGGTGAGGACCACTCAGCGATGCTGATTCTTTTCCGCTTGTTCAATCAGCCGGCAGAGCCTCCTGGTCCCGAGGGAAGGAAGCTGCACCTGTGGCTCCTGCTCCCGCCCTCCCTCACCCTCCTCTCTGCCTCTGTGCTGCTGACTTCCTGCACCCTGGAGCCCTCTCCTGGTTTCTCTCTTCCCGCCTCCTCTGACGCCAGTCCTTCTTCCTCTCTGGTCTGATGTCTTTTCCAGGCCCCTCACCCCACAGCCCAGTGCCCCCAACCCTTCCTTTCCTCTTTCCCAACCAATCACGCCCTTCTGTGCACCCTGTCCTGATGCTACTGCAACTCAACATACAGCTGCTTTTGTTCCTTTTCTGCCCCAGGTCTTCACATTTGCGGGCCTCCTGCTTGGTGCTTTTCCCACCTGCACAGTCCCGGGGTGTCCTGGAGCCTACTCTGAATAATCCCTTTTCCCCACTAGTGCCCCAACTCAGTGAGGATGGAGATCTTCACTTCCGAAATCTTTTCCTCCTTCCTCATCCCCTTGGTCCCTGCCCAACCCGTCCTGTGCCCAAACTGGGCTGCTCCCTGCCTCCTGCCCAGTGTCTCCGACCCGGGCCTGCTTAGCCCCAGCAGGGTCCTTCTGGACCTTGCTTCTGTTTCTATTCACAGCACCCTGCTGTTCTCTGAGATCCCAGGGCAAAGCCAAGGTCCCAGCCCTGGCTCTGGGGGCTCCCAAGCCCTGGCTGCCTCCTCCTCTCCCATCCCGGGATCACTGAGCCCGTTTGCACTGTGCGGTGCCCCTGCTCTGAGGCTGGCTCTGTTCCTGTCACATCTCTGCCCAAGCTACCCTCATAGCTCCCCGCAGTACGTGACAAGTGCTTTTTCTGACAGTCTGAGGGGACCCGATGTTGTCTCCCCTTCAGCCGTGCTGAACCCAGGCTCACCCTGTGCCCCCGGATCTTGTCTCTGCTGAATCTGTGTGGGAAGAGCACAGTGACACTAGTGACTCCCACCACCCCGCTCTGTGCTCCTTCCCAACCCTGAGGCTGCTGGGAAATGGCGCAGCACTGTGCGTCCTGGAGGAACAGCGCCTGCGTCTGGTCTGCATGGCTGACAGCAACCCCGCTGCCTCCCTGAGCTGGTCCTGGCAGGAAAAAGCCCCAGGTCCCTCCCAGGTCTACGGATCTGGGGTCCCAGAGCTGTCCCTGGTAGTGGCTGAGGGTGGAGGGGGCTCACCTGCCAGGCTCAGCACGCACTGAGCTCCCAGCACTCTTCCTTGAGCCTCTCTGTGCAGAGAGAAAAGCAGAGAAGGGCCTCAGCCTGGCAGGGCTTTGGAGGCGGAGGGCCCGGGCCTGGGTCAGAGCTCCAGCCTGCATCTCCTTCCCCGTCTCTGTCCCTGTGTGCAGCTGCCCAGCAGTGGGACTCCTGGCCCCTGGTCCTCATGATGATGAGAGGGACCCTCATGGGGGCCGGCTTCCTGCTCACCTACGGCCTCACCTGGATCTACTGCACCAGGTGAGCAGGCGGCTCCTCCGAGGAGGCCCCGAGGAGTCCTGGCTTCCAGGAGGGGCTCAGTCCGCCTACTGCGTCTGGAGCTAGGATTCCGGAGGCCAACTCTGATCAGAGACCCTCCTGATTGTAGGTGTGCAGATGCCCGGGAACGAGGGGCTGAGAGGTCTCCCTGAGCCCCTTCTCCTGGACCTGGGGGAGAGGAATGAGCCAGAGCTCAGAGGGGCGGACCTGGGGACGGCAGCTTCTCCCTGGGAACGCTGGACTCCTGCGCCTGACCTGCTTGCCATCACCCCCCGCACTGCCGTTAGTCCTGCCCAACTCTAGGGGAGCCGGCCCGTGTCCTCCCTCCTCCTCCTCCTCCTCCCTCCCAGCCCCATGATGAGGTGAACTTTGCATCCTTTCTCCCACTACCAAGGCTTCCAGTGGGAGTCTTGGGCCTCCCAACTGCCCTCTCCCAGGCGTGGAGGTACAAGGAGTCCCGGGCACAGCTTTTTGTTTTCAGTGAAAGCTTCTTCCTCGTTGTAGCCGGAACAAGGTGTCACGGCATGGAAAGGTCAGCAGAGACTGCATTCCACCATGCGACACACAGAATGACTTCACCATTACATAGCTCTGTGGCGGGGTGTGAGCAAAATTCCTGTTGTATCTTCTTTGACATATTCCAACTAAAATTTGATGTATTGAAATTTTTTTTCATTTGTATTCCTAGTCCCTTTTCTTTTTGAGCATGCTTTTATGGTGACATATTTGCCACACATAGTAATCACGTTCATTGATATATAGTCACATCATTTTGATGTGTTAAGAAATTGAGGCACCATACAATTTTTTGCCGTACTTGTAATTGGTCACAGAACCTTCTCACTGTGCTACATCCCCAGCATTTATTTATTTATTTAGAAATAGGATCTCACTAAGTTGCCCAGGGTGACCTCCGACTTGCAGTCCTCTTGCCTCAGCCTCCCAGGGTGCAGGGATTACAGGTGCAGCCACCACGTCTTGTGAACTCAACACCAGCCTGTCTGCAGACCTCTGCTGAGGAGGCAGAGGGGGTGGCTCTTCATGGATCACACGGAAGCAAAGCAGAGCAGACGTGCACTCGCATGCAGTGATACTGCTCCCTTGCTGCTCGGTCCCCCCTGAAAGTCCCAAGTTCTTTAGTCATAGGTGTTTCGGAGCCTCTGGCTGGTTGCGTTACATCCTGCTCTTCTTTAGGAGGAACAGCTCTGGTTTTGCTCGCCTTGGCAAGGTGGGGAGGCCCCTGGTGGCGTCGTGCACCTCTGCCTGCCCAGGAGTCTTGGGCCAGTCCACTTTAACTGACTTCCACCCATGCTACTATGGACCACGCCTTTCACAGTATCCCAGTTTGCTTTGTTATTTTAATAAGGTTGATTTTTGAAATCTCCCCAGTCTAGTATCTCATCAGCCTCATGTTCTTTTGAAGCCTCCAGATACGCCTGGTCTACGTTTATATTTTGTGCGATATGAAACATCCTATTTTGTTCTTGCGATTCTTACATCCTTCCTTACTTTTAGAGTTCTCTCATGCCAGGGCCTGACTCAGTGCAGGGTTCACCGAGCTGTGCTTTGTTTCCTGTTAGGGAAATTCTCTTCAGTGTTGGTTAGCCCTCGGTTTTATCTTGGAGGAACTGAAAATCGCTGGTGCTCTTTCTCTCTGTTCTCCTGTCCTGAGGTTGAGGCCATTAAGACCAAGATTATAACAGAAGCCACACAATGCCTTCCAACTGAGGGGATTTATTGCAAGGATTTGGGGTCCTTATGAAAAGAACCATTACACAATCTGACAGAAAGGGTGTCAGGGATGTGTCGCCCTCGTCAGAAGGCTGAGGGAGCAGAGCTCCCGCTGTACTGAGTGCGAAGGAAGCCCCAGGCCCGGCTGAGAGACGCTGCCCATCTGCCGCTGTGGTTTGGTGCTGGCGCTCACTTGAAGCCCGGCTCGGTCCTCAGCTGCCTTCCCTCCCTTGACCCTGACCCCAAATCCTGCCCAGGATAACCCTGGCCACATAATCATGGTTCTTCATTGCCCATCTGAACCCTAGGCAGAGCAGAGCCAGGTTTTGTGGAGCCAGACATTCACACTTTGGATAAAGAAACAACTCAACCGGACACTAGCTAAGGTGGAAAGGACGACTCCTGGGAGTCCTGGGGAAAGCGTCACTGCTGTGCACAGGGAAGGATACCAGGCTCAGCTGTGCACGCTCAGGAGAAGGAGCGGGGCACAGCGAAGGCGCAGTGGGGCAGGAGCGGCCGAAGTGAGCAGGTGGAGGAGGCTGAGAGGACAGATGGAGAGAGGGAGCATTATCGCTAGGGCGGCTTGACAGGTGCTCGAATCCGGCAGAGGCCGTCAGGTGCCCAGGGCAGGTGTTGGGGCGGTGTGGGGGGTCCGAAATGGACTCAGGCCCGGTGCACCTGTGTATACCTGCCGGTCCGCTCACAGGAGGCTCCTGCTCTACGTAGCTGTGTGGTACAGCAGCACCCTAACCCTCCACAGCTCGTGAGTCCCAGGAATGACCAATGCCAAACCTACGGCTGGGGCTGGAAAACGTGGCGGTCACCACAGCAGACACCTCCAGGTCCCAGCTTGTGTGTTGGGAAGCAGCACAAAATGATCACGTCGAAGTGAGTCCAGGACCAGCTGGGACCACTTTCAAAGTTGTCCGGGACCAGGGTAGGCCCGCTCAGAACGAACTGCCTAACATTTGGCCAAGGAAAGTCTTTGTCACACTTTAGAGAAGGAAAAACCAAAAAATTTGGCACGCGTGTGTTTTTTTCTCAGTTGGAAAATATGACATCAGAGCCACAAAACCCCAAATGCTGGAAGATGACAAAACATAAGCCCACTGGGAAGTGGGACACTATTTTCACGAGTAGCATAGGCTGTCCATGCAGTACCCAGCACACTGGCCCTGATCCTGCTCCCTATACTGCTCATCCACCTTGCTGTAGCTCACACTTGTGGCAGGGAATTTCTGTGCGAGGAATGGACGCGGAAGTCGGTGTTTCATTTGGAAAGACCCACGGATGTTCCTCTGACAGAGCTGGAAACACTCTTTATTCCCACAACTTCATATCAGGAACTGCTAAACGTATTTGAAATCATTGCTCGATTTGAACACATTTTTATCAATTTCTGTCACAACAGAGCAGTGTGCTGAGAGGTTATTTCCACACATTTCTCAGGCCGAGGAAAGGTCACAAGATTGAGCAATGCTGTGTCCGCAGAAGAGGAAGCCTTTCATTCCCGGGATCCCTCCAGTCCCCTGTGAAACGGACGCCGTCCTCCTGCACAATCTGGTCCTGAGTGGGCCTGGGCCTCTGTGGTCATTCTGGGAGACCCCGTGCTCAGGGAGACCCACCCTGAAGAGTGCGCCAGGTTCTGGGCACCACCCCTCAGAGCAAGTGATTGGCCGGAGAGGTCTCGCCCTCCACCAATTGGAGACCGAAAATCTTCCCTTCCCTGATAGGATAACTACAACTTGGGAGTAGACTATATGCGCGTCAACAGATTAATGGATGAAGAAAGTATGGAATTTGCATGCATTAGAGTATTACTCTGCCATAAAGAAGGATAAACCAAGCATTTGTAGGAAAATGAGTGCATCTTGAGTCCATAAGCTTAACTGAAATAAATCAGATTTACAAGCAGAAATATCACATGGTTTCTCTTTCATGAGACAGCTGAAGTATAAAGAAAGTAAAAGATCGTAGAAACAGGAAGGTAAAAGTCTTAAGAATGAAAAGGGGACCGAGAAATGGAGGGCAAGGGAGGGAGGGGAGTCAAAGGGGCCAAGAAAAAGAGTGAAGGTGAGTTAGGTACAAGGGTCAGCTCTCCACGAAGAACGTGCATCATACTGAACGTGGGGCTCAAAAGCAAGAAAGAAAAGTCAAACTGTGCTTGTCTAGCGCATGCAGCAGTGAGCCAGTGAGAGGGTGGACGGGACGCGCATCTCCTCATCTCCCCGCACCACGGGCCAGGCCCTCGCTCCCCTCTTCTATCTGCGTTCGGGTGCTGCTGATCTGACTGTTGATCTAAATATCATCTGCAAGGCCCCCATTTTCCCGGACAAGCTCTCCTCTGCGGGGACCAGAGGCTCCTCGCCTGCAGTGTCCAATGGGGATGAACTCAACTGATGTCTAAATCCTACGCCATCCCCAACTTCACTAAGTTCCCCTTTGGTGGCGGCCACGGCTCTCCCGCCCCAGCTACTTCCGGTTCAGCTTCCTGGACACCGCCCCACAGTACTGCATTGCTTCCCTGACAGGAACCAAACTGGGTCTACCCCTGCCACATGCAGGATGCTGGGCCTGCTGCTGCTGCCCCTGCTGTGGGCTGGTGAGTGAGCTGAGGAAGGGAGGTCAGCAGGGCTGAGGGCCGGGCTGCAGCTGAGCGTCTGCGTCCCCACAGGGTCCCTGCAGCAGGATGGAGGGCACCCGATCCAGGTGCAGAAGGCGGTGACGGTGCAGGAGGGCCTGTGCGTGCTGGTGCCCTGCTCCTTCTCCTACCCCTTCAGGGCAGGGTCTTCTCCTGAAGAGTTCTACATGTCCTGGGTCCGGGTCAGGTGAGACTCATCCTATGGCGATGTGGTGGCCACAAACAACCCAAAATACGAACTAAAGACTGAGATCAAGGATCGATTCCACCTCCTTGGGGACATCCGGACCAGAAACTGCTCCCTAAGCATCAGAGGAGACAAGAGAGAGGACACACGAACCTATGTCTTCAGAATAGAGACCAAGAGACATGCAATATACACTTATTTACATCATCTAGTGACTGTGCAGGTGACAGGTAGGCACAGCACCCAGGAGGGGACCTCGGGTCCTGGACGCCCCATGTGGAGCAGGAACAGGATGTTAGACCCTTCTCTGCTGGGTCTTGGGTCCGTGGAGGTCACAGGATCATGGGGCGTGGACCTGCTCGGTCCCTGAGGCACAGTGACTGTCGGGGTCACACTGCGGTCCCCACCCTGGGCCCAGGCAGCTCCCTGTGCCCTCCTCAGGCCTGACAGAGAAACCCGCCATCCACGTTCCCGAGCCTCTGGAGTCTGGTCGCCCCTCACGCCTCCGCTGCAGCCTGCCAGGGTCCTGCCAAGGGGGGCACTCCCTCGCCTTCTCCTGGTCGGGTGACGCCCTGAACTCCATGGACCCCGGGACCCTGAAGTCCTCAGAGCTCATTCTCACCCCACGGCCCCAGGACCACGACACCAGCCTCACCTGCCAGGTGCAGCTCGCAGGAGCTTGGGCGACCACGGAGAGGACCATCGGGCTCCGCGTCTCCTGTGAGTGTGGGGGACGGCTGGGTCCCTCGTCTGGGAGGTGGCAGGCAGAGGAACAGCAGGGCGGCTCCCCATCCTCTCTCTGTGCTTCTCTGTTCCCGCCAGGCCCACACCCATCCTGCTGCTCACTCTGAAAAGGGACCATCTTTCTCCCCAGATGCTCCGCAGGACCTCAGCGTCAGCCTCTACTTCAAAAATGGCACAGGTGAAATTCCTCTGCCCTCCTCGGGGTTTGGTGGTTGCTCCCTTCGAGCTCGGACACAGAAGGCCTCTCCACAACCACTCCCTGCCTGCACCATCTGAGGAATGTGCTGGACTTGGCTCTAAACAACCGCCTTCATCCCCAGCGTGCCCCAGAGACATGAGCCTCAGGAATTTCAACCCAAATCCTCTTCCCCTGTCCTGCCCTGATTTCACCTGAAAACTAATCCTTTCCCAATGTCCACACAGCCTCCTGTCCACCCTGTCCAGTCCAGGCCCTGACCTCGCAGGATATTTTCAAACCCAGAGTTACTTTACTGTTTTCTCTATGCACAGACCCTACTGCTCTCTGGAAGCCAAAGGCAAAGCCCAAGGTGCACAGCCGGGCCCCTAAGTCTCAAAGACCTGGCCTCCTCTCCCAGCTCCAGCAGGCATTGAGCACTTGTTTCTCCTCCCTGCCCGGTAGAAGATGCAAAATTTCCCTCTTCTGCAGGGCCGGCTCAATTCTCAACACATCTTTCTTTGAGCGGTCCTCAGGCTTCTTAATAGGAGACATAGCCTCCTGCCGGCAGCATCATCCTCCCTTCAGCTATGACTAAGCCATTCTCATACTTTGCCACATGGTCTTCTCCTTGCTGGGGCTCGGTGGGAAGAGGGCAGAGGTGCTCCTCACCCCCACCAGCCTTGCTGTGCATTTCTCACCCAGTGCTGACGACCGTGAGCAATGGCACAGTGCTTCCTGTCCCAGAGGAACGGTCCTTTCTCCTGGTCTGCACGGCTCACAGCAACCCCCCTGCCTCCCTGAGCTGGTCCTGGAAGGGAAAAGCCCCAGCTCCCTCCCAGGTCTCCAGATCTGGGATCCTGGAGTTATCCCGTGTCAGGGCTGAGGATGGCGGGGAATTCACCTGCCAGGCTCAGAACGTGCTGGGCTCCCAGCACTTTTCCTTGAACCTCTCTGTGCAGAGTGAGTAGCAAAGCAGGAGGTGAGGCCTCAGCCTGGCGGGTTCTTGGGATGGGGGTGAGGCCAGACCCAGGGACAGACTGTTTCCCCTCCCCTTCCCCAGGAATCCCCTCTTCCTGCATCTGTGTGCCTGAGAGGCAGGGGAGCTCCTGGCCCCTGGTCCTCACCTTGATCAGAGGGACCCTCATGGGAGCCGGCTTCCTCCTCACCTACGGCCTCACCTGGATCTTCTACACCAGGTGAGCAGGTGGCTTCTCTTCAGGGCTCCAGCTAGGGCTGACTCTGCTGCCCACTGGGAGTTAGGACTACAGACTCTGACCTGAGGCTGTGCTCACTCTGCAGGTACGGGGGTGCTCAGGGCTTCAGCGCTGTGAGACCTCACTGAGCCCCTTCTTCTCCACTCTGGAGTGAGCAGTCGGCATGCAGACCAGACAGGACAATGGTGGGGACGCCACTGTCACCTCCCTGGAAGCTCTGGACTCACCCTGATAACTGCCCCTCAGGCCCCGCCTGATCCCCTCCCCATCACTTACCCCACTGTTGGTCATTGCCCTCCTGAGGCCAGAAGACCCCATCCCTCGCCTTGCTCCCTCTCCTCTCCCTCTCTGTCACAGCCCTGCAGTAAGGATGAAGTTTGTCACCCATCACCCCTACCAGGAATTCCCACAGAGCACCAGAGTTTCCGTCTCCTGACTTCCCTAGCAGCATGGGCAGTGACACAGGGAATCACAAGCACAGCTTTTCCTTCCTAGTCCAAGGCCCTACCTCATCACCATTATTACAGAATGTCACAGCACGTGACTGTGCATGTCCATGGTAATAAATAATACAAGATGGAGTTGATTTCACTGTTTAATATCTCTGTGGGAGTTTTTGAACAAACTCATGACTTGATGTACTTGAAGTTTCAACTAAGGCATCTTATGTTTCATTTGTACCTTTTGGGGGGCCTGGTGGGGAATGAAGTGCAGGGCCTTTGGACTCTAACCGTGTGCCCTAACACTGGGATGTACTGCCCACACCTCTGTATTCATTCTTTGGTGCATAAGTTAAATTCAACATGAAAATCGAAAGAGTACAGCGAGGAGGTTATTTATATATGGACCCATCCTGGACTGCACTGTCCAGCTCAATGTGTAGCATCTTTCAGCCCTCGTCCCCTTCCATGAGTCTGTTGTTCTGCCAGTCCAAAAAACTTAGAGCCAACACCACTGTCTCCCCCTCCATATGCATCTGTGCTCCAGTGCTTGGGATCCCTGAAACATTACTGGACGCCTCTACAGTAGGCTTTAGTCTCCTACTCAGTGTACAATGCAAGCCTGAGCAGGGGGGGTGCTAAAAGGCAAAACTAAGAGAGACAGAAAACTCAGTGCCAAGACAACCAACGCTGGTGCAACCAACAAAGACACTGGCCACTCCAGACCACTGATTTTTATAGGTAATCACCTAGGGTAGAGGCAAGCTACATTCAAGAGCAGTACTATGTATGAGGCCACGCAGTAGTGTGGTTTCTATGAAAATTAGTGTAAGCAAGGCTCATAGAAGACAGGACAAAGCATTCTCAAGGTAGGAACAGAGCAGACAAAATATATGGCTGTAATCAGAGCATTTTCCTCCTAGTGAGATTTTAATTGTAGGAATGGAATTTGGGTGTGAGTTACTCTGGCCCTGGCATGTAGGCTTTGACCAGACTCACTTCTATAAATAAACCAGTTGTGGGGTTAATGCTTTACAGTTTATACTGCTTACAGCCTGCTTTGTGCATAATCGATATTGCAGTCACCTGCACTCCAGCATCCCATTTCATCTGCCCAGAAGCAAACCTCACATGTGATTAAGTGTTTGGCTTTTTAGCTCAGTATGGTTTTCCTGATGTATCCGTGTTACTTCTTCAGTAGTACGTGTTTGGCCTGGGTATTGTTTTCAACACACTGCTCAATATGCAATTGTATCCCTGCTTATTCACCCATTCCTAAATGCAGTCATGACACTGTTCAGCCAGTAATGACAGGAAGAGGCTGCCTTGCTGACATGGACCGACCCAGAGGGCTTGAGGCTAAGAGAGAAGGTCAGACACAGAGAGATGAATACCACACTATCATTGCTCATGAGTGGAATCTAAAAAGGTCAGAATCACAGAAGCTGCCTCCAGGGCCTGCAGCTCCTCCAGCATAGTGACAGAGCTGCCTTGGGGTCCTTGTCTGTCATCTCCACGACCTCGGTCACCTCATTGCTGGCCTTCAGAATGGGTCCAGTTTTCCTGTTTATAAAGACATATTTGGTGATTTTGGACAGTCTCCTAGAAGCTGCTGATGTTCTGTTGTGGGGGTTCTGGGATCAGTTCTGTTTCTCCAAGAGGACTATTTGTTTTGTTGTTTTAGCACTAATTTGTTTCAAGGCAAATTGTAAACTTTCATTTGCCTGTGATGGGTCAGCGCTCAACTCTTACGTTGGTCCTCTGATCTTTAGGTGCTCTGTTATGGCCTTTTCCACAGAGATGTGGTCCTGAGGTCAGTCGGTGACAGAAGAGTTTACCATGTTTCCCTGAAAATAAGACTGGGTATTATATTTTATTTCCAGGATGCAATGGGGCTTATATACAACAATCTATACTTATTCATGTATTCACATACAATTATCTACATACATTTCAAGTCATGTTATCTTCTGGAGCATTGTCAAAACTCTCAGAATACAGAATTCTCACCTGAATTTCTTGCAATTCCATTTCCTGTGGAACTACTGGCCCCAAATGGTCATGTGTACCCATAGAGCTCTCCTTGAATGAGCACTCCCCAGCCATTCAGACTGCTCATAATGCATCGTTCTAACACATGATGCACTGAATCATGAAGAGTCACATTTGACACAGCCATGTCCATTCCTTATCAAGTGCACACATTGCCCCTGCGTTGTGTGTACTCTGTTGACAACTTTGTTTTGTTTTGTTTTGTTTTTGGTACCAGGGATCGGACCTGGGTCCTTGCGCTTGCAAGACAGGCGGCAGAACCACTGAGCTAAAGCCCCGGCTTGTTGTGTGTACTCTGATTGGTCTTTGGGCAGGAAGTCTCTAGGTCATCTGTTTACACAATTATTAACCACTCATCAAAGGCACCTGCTTGGGAATTTACAAATACTTAGTAATAATTTATATTATTATCTTGTTTAAGCTTACTATGAATAATATTATTTCTTTGCATTTAATTATGTAATCATGTCATTATTGCATAATTCAGTATGTCTGCCATATGCTGCAAGTGATGTACTTAGTGCATGCGTCTGGCTGAGGATCTTAACTGGGGTTTATTTTCGCAGTAGGTCTTATGTTGCAAGCATCCTGGAAAATCATTTTAAGGCTTCTGTTCTGGGCAGGTCTTTTTTCGGGGAAATATGGTGGGAGGAGATTGCTTGGTGATGGGGTAGGTGGTGTTTAGCACGAACAGATATTGCCTATTTTCCAAAGTGCTGGAGCTCACCAACATTCTCTGCAGCAGTGCTGGAGAGTTCCAGTTCCCCCACATCATGTGCCAACACCTGATGTAGCAGGCTTTGCAGCTGTAGCCATGCGGGTATGTGCAGAGATGTTGTTTGTGACTGGCCATGACCATGCAGGGTTTTGACTCTCATCTTTCCTTTCAGGGACCCACTACTTTGTGCGTTCAGTTTATTTTCATGTACATTTCATACATTTTGTAGCTATCTATGACATTATTGTAAGTCAATCATTTCTGCTCCATTCATTCAGAAACATTTTTCAATTTGTGTTTCTGATATAGATAAATTCTCAGACAACTGGTGATAAAATATACATGGGCCCATGACTATAGTTAACAAAAGAGATACAGTTTGGAGGCACTAAGAACTTTTAAATAACTGTAAATTAGCTTTCTGCATGCAGAGTTGTTGTTTTCACACTCAAAACTGATTTTAAGCTGATGATAGTTGCCTGTATCATTTCTCAGTGATCTTCCCAGTTTCATTTGATTCTGTTTACATCTCACGTTGCCTGTAAACATCAAAGTCTGTTCCTCAGGTCATTTCTTCCAGCTCACATGTTTCCTGTGTTGTAGGTCTGCTTCTGGCTTCCCTGCTGTGTTGCATGGTGCGTGGTCTCTGCCTGTGCCAGTACAACACCATCTTAGTTCTGGAAGACTGATGATGTCTCGATGCCTTGCAGAGGTATTTACTGTTCATGATTCACCTGGCTCTATGGAAACTTCTACATCAGTATAGATTTTACAGTACAGTTATTGATACAGAGAACTTTTGTAAATAATCTGAAAACCTAAAAAATGTTAGGAAAATGTGAAATGACTTCTGCTGTCTCTAACAGCAATCTGCTTTGTTTAGTTCAAAATTAACAAGCACTGGAGGCATTGACTGTGAAATGGGACATCTGGCCTCTTTCCTGACCTTAAACACCCCCTTCCTGTGCACTAGAATAGACAGCTAGATGAATCTTAAGGTTAAACTCCCTAACTACAAGGAATTGTTACCTCTGGGTTAAAGTGAACTGTCTGGTTACTGTAATTTATACATGGGTAATGTGAACTGAGGAAATGAAATGTAATCACCTAATGAGATCATGGTTATAAAACCTATTTTTTTTTAAAAAAAAAAAAGCTGCAACTCAATAGGAGGTCAATCACTGGCACTGCTTCTAGTGCAATCAGCCATTTGCTGGCAAAATAAAAACGTTTATTATTTTACTTCCATTCTGTGTCTCTGTGCGTGTCACTTACCAATTCCTTCCACAACATTATAAGATGCACAAAAGTAACCTGAGAGATGGAATGAGTATTGCGATGATTCTGTAGGTTAATTTGGGTACAATTAACTCTCCTTTGTTGAATCTGTTGCCATTGTTGCTTCAAGCCCACTGACATTGCATATTCTCCCATCTTTGCATCTTGAGCATCCTTCAAGTTAGATATATAATTTCCTCCACACAGTGCACACTATGGAACTGTTAGAGGCATCTCTAAATAGAAGTATCCTAGGTATATCATAAATTTGATGTGTTAGGAAGTAAATTGTAGCACAATACAATTTTAAAGAGTTTCACCGAGACAACAATGAGTTATGAACCTGTAGCTCCAAACTGAGGTCCTCCACTGAGAGGACACAAGGGGTGGCTTTTATGAGACAAACACATGTGTAAAGCAAAGGAAACATTTGACTGGTTGCAATTATACACTGCTTTATCTGATATACTCCAGTGGAAGGTTAATTATTAATTATTTAATTGTAACTTTTCTGGCTGCCTCTGATTGGCTGAACTGCATCCTGTTTTTCCTTACAAGAAATAGCTCAAGTTTTAGTCAGGTTTGTAAACCAGATAAAGCACAAGACACTGATGAGTTATGCTGGTTTTGTCAGCTCAGGGAGTCTTCAAGCCTGAACCCTTTTCAATTTACTTTTAAGTGCTGTTGTCAATAACATCTTTTATAGTATTTCATGTTACTTATCATTGTGATAGAAAAATAAAATTGAATTTTGTAATGTGGTCAATGCTTGCTTATCAGTTTTTCTAATTTTCTTTTTAAGTCACCAAATGGTATCTGTGTATACTTCTGTATGTTTCTATGTTGAATCATATCCTTTAAGAAAACAGACATTTTTTTCTCCTTCCAATTCTTATACGTTTGACCTATTTTTAGTATCTTCTTATGCTAGGCCCTGACTAGCTGTGCTTGCTGAGTTAGACCTTGGAACTCTTAGGGAATTTCTTTTTTAATTCCTAGCTGCTACGTGTTTTATCATGAAAGCATTTGAAATCACCAGTGCTCACTTTTAAAAAAAATATTTTGGTATTTAATGCATAAAGGAACAAATTGACAATAAAAACCACACTGTGTTTCATCTGAAAGAATTTGACAGGGATTTTGTCACTTGTGCATCAGAGGCCAAGGAAACAAAGTTAACCCAGTGCTAAACTCTTGGGAGACTCTCAGCACACACTTGAGATTTGCACAGAAGCGTGGATAAGTGCTGCTCACCCAGGCAAAGCCTGCTTGTGCCACAGCTACATTCCCTTTTTCAGTCTTTGCTTTACCTAAGACAACCTTACCTGTAAATTGCATGCCATTACTTCTTTGTTACCTGATCACTTAAGTAGAGAGATCCATATTTGGGAAGCTCAGCATTCATACTTTTGTTAAAGAAAAAGCACTCAACACTAGTTATCATGGAAAGGAAGATACATTGGGTGTATTGGATAAGTGTCAAGAGTATCACATTATATACTAATTATCAAAGTGCTCAGAGCAGACTGGGAAATTTGATCAAGGAGAGTGTTTGTCAGCCTTTAGAAAAACACTACAAAATTTGTCATTCAGTTTTTATTAGAAAACATCACATCAAAAGCATAAACACCAATATGCTGAAAATATTAAAATATAAGGCTACTCAGAAAAATAATTTTTATTAATAGTGCAGGCTGCATATCTCGTATACCTGCATACTTCCCTCTCAGAATTTTGGCCAATACTCCTTGGTGGCCTTTCTATGGGTGACACTTCTGAAAAGGGATGTGTATACTTAGAATATATGTAGAAGTCCGCATTGCATCATGCATGGTTTATTGAAATTTCTTTTGATCGCTCCTAAGTCAAGAAGCTTTCTTTATTCCCACAGCCCATTATCAGAGTTAAATGTGAAGACAGCTTTCTTAAGTTACTGTATTCTCACAAAAAGTCAGTCATATGACAGGTTACTCTAGGCCTTTCTCAGGCTCCTGCCAGGGAGGTGAGAAGACTCTATAAGGGAAGGACCCCAAAGATTGACCTTCGTGAGCTTTCTGGTGACAAAAGTGTCCTGTATCCGTCTGGTGCCCCGTGTAGAGGAATGAAGTCCTCTCTCCAGACATTTAGTCCGGAGGGCCCTGGGCCTCACTCTCATGACAGTGAATGTGCCGCATTCCGAAAACTTCCTCAAGGCCAAGGTGCTCAAGCCCTTCCCAGTCTCAGACCCCACAATTTGGGTTTTAAAACACCTTCCTTTCTGGCCACTGTTTCAATAATTGTAGGACAATTTAAAATATGTCTTTCTGGAATATTTGGTGCTGAGTGGCCGGAGGGTGGATCGGAAGTGCATCTCACCAGCCCGCAGGGCAGGCCCTCACTCATCCCTCGGCATGCTCACTGTTGATGTGAACACTATTTGGAAGGCAGCCCTTTTCCCGGACAAGCTCTGGCTCCTGGAGGCCTCACGGTTCTCACTTACAGTGTCTGGTGGGCGTTGGGACAGCTGGCTCCCCAGCACCCATCTCACTCTGTGTTCCTCAGCACCAGTTCCCCTTTGGTGGCGGCCGCGGCTCTCCCGCCCCAGCTACTTCCGGTTCAGCTTCCTGGACACCGCCCCACAGTACTGCATTGCTTCCCTGACAGGAACCAAACTGGGTCTACCCCTGCCACATGCAGGATGCTGGGCCTGCTGCTGCTGCCCCTGCTGTGGGCTGGTGAGTGAGCTGAGGAAGGGAGGTCAGCAGGGCTGAGGGCCGGGCTGCAGCTGAGCGTCTGCGTCCCCACAGGGTCCCTGCAGCAGGATGGAGGGCACCCGATCCAGGTGCAGAAGGCGGTGACGGTGCAGGAGGGCCTGTGCGTGCTGGTGCCCTGCTCCTTCTCCTACCCCTTCAGGGCAGGGTCTTCTCCTGAAGAGTTCTACATGTCCTGGATCCGGGTCAGGCGAGACTCATCCTATGGCGATGTGGTGGCCACAAACAACCCAAAATACGAACTGAAGACTGAGATCAAAGACCGATTCCACCTCCTTGGGGACATCCGGACCAGAAACTGCTCCCTTAGCATCAGAGGAGACAAGAGAGAGGACACACGAACCTATGTCTTCAGAATAGAGACCAAGAGACATGCAATATACACTTATTTACATCATCTAGTGACTGTGCAGGTGACAGGTAGGCACAGCACCCAGGAGGGGACCTCGGGTCCTGGACGCCCCATGTGGAGCAGGAACAGGATGTTAGACCCTTCTCTGCTGGGTCTTGGGTCCGTGGAGGTCACAGGATCATGGGGCGTGGACCTGCTCGGTCCCTGAGGCACAGTGACTGTCGGGGTCACACTGCGGTCCCCACCCTGGGCCCAGGCAGCTCCCTGTGCCCTCCTCAGGCCTGACAGAGAAACCCGCCATCCACGTTCCCGAGCCTCTGGAGTCTGGTCGCCCCTCACGCCTCCGCTGCAGCCTGCCAGGGTCCTGCCAAGGGGGGCGCCCCCTCACCTTCTCCTGGTCGGGTGACGCCCTGAACTCCATGGACCCCGGGACCCTGAAGTCCTCAGAGCTCATTCTCACCCCACGGCCCCAGGACCACGACACCAGCCTCACCTGCCAGGTGCAGCTCGCAGGAGCTTGGGCGACCACGGAGAGGACCATCGGGCTCCACGTCTCCTGTGAGTGTGGGGGACGGCTGGGTCCCAAAGGCAGTGTGAATGAACTCTCTGTGTGTGTGGTTTGCTTTTCTGGTGGGGAGCGGGTCAGAGGACAGCAGCCCCAGTTTCCACTTCCATGACCTCCCTGGGCGCCTACAGGGCCTCTCCTGTCTCACTGCTACTCTAAGTGAGGCGTGTCTCTCCCCAGATGCTCCACAGCACCTCAGTATCAGCCTCTTCTACAGAAATGGCACAGGTAGGAAAGAGCCGGTTCTCTCTGGCTGGGACCACTTGAGTGGCAGTGGGGAATCAGAGCTTGAATGTGGCAGACAGTGGAGGAAGAAGGGCAGGAGTTATCACCCTTTGTCCCCTGCTCCCGTACACCCAATGTTTACACGCATGTGCGCATGCCCAGACACGGACACACATACTGTGCTCGGAGAGGAGCAGCCTGGATTTACCCACCTATCCCCGTTCATGGTCCATATTCTCACCTGGGTCACCTTTGCGTGGTTCAGCCATGTGGTCCTCCTGCCCCTCTGCTCTTATTTCCTGCCGTGACCAAATCTGTTTCGCAAAGCCACTGTGCCTCTGTTTTCTGTCTCCCACGGTCCAGGCACGTCCCAGGGAGATTCTGAGCCTCCTCTGAAGATGCGAAGCTCAGTCTTTTGATCAACTCCCTGCAGCTGTAAAGGCTCCTTCTTTGAGAACCTCTCCAGGATGGGTCTAGGGAGGAGAGAAGAGGGAGGGGCATTAGATCCCGGAGGAGAGAGCCACAGCACCTCCTGTGCATTCATGTTCTCTCTCTCTCCGCTTTCCCCAAAGTCGTCCAGATTCTACCAAATGCCTCACCCCTTTCCGTCATGGAGGGCCAGGCTCTACAGCTGACCTGTGCTGCAGACAGCTACCCCTCTGCACAAGTGAGCTGGTTCTGGGAGTCTCCTGACCTGCATGCCTCCCCCCTCTCCAGTACTGGGGTCCTGAAGATGTCTCACGTAGGGACTGCAGAAGGAGGAGGCTTCACCTGCCGAGCTAACAATACACTGGGATCCCAAAATGCCTCTGTGACCCTCTCCATGCTGTGTGAGTGTGGGGACTTCAGGGTCAGGACACCTGGATCCTGGAAGGGATGGCCCCTGTGACCTCCTCTCCCTCCCACAGATGCCCCCCAGCTGCTGGGCCCCTGGTGCTCCTGGGAGGCTGAGGATCTGCGCTGCAGCTGCTCCTCCCGGGCCCGGCCTGCCCCGTCCCTGCACTGGCGGCTCGGGGAGGAGCTGCTGGAGGGGAACAGCAGCAACGCCTCCTTCACGATCACCTCCAGCTGGGCCGGGCCCTGGGCTAACAGCTCCCTGAGCCTCCACGGGGGACTGAGCTCAAGCCTCAGACTCAGCTGTGAGGCAGGAAATGAGCACGGGGCCCAGAGCACCACGGTCCTGCTGCTGCCAGGTGAGCGGCCCAGTTCTGGAGGGAGAAAGAATGTTGGGGGAAGAAAGGGAGCAACCAAGGGGAGGCACAGGGATCTCGGAGGGATGGATGGGGCGGGGGTGGGGCTGGAGTCCAGACCCAGCCGCCTGGGAGGACAGCGTCCTCCACTGCCCAGCCGAGCAGGGGCTCGGAGCAAACTCACGAGGAGACGGGGCCCTGAGCGCCATCCTCTCACCGCCCTCTCTCCTGCAGGGAAATCGGGACCCATGGCAGGAGCAGTGGTTGGAGCCCTTGGAGGCGCTGGCGCCATGGCCCTGCTCTGCCTGGCTCTGTGCCTCATCTTCTTTTGCATGTGAGTCTCGGCTCCAGCAGAAGGGCTGTGCGTTAGGGTCTCAGGACAGTGTCCCTCTGATGACTGGAGAAGACGTGGATGGACATAAAGATTGTATTTCTCACAGGGCCCGGGAGCCACACAGGGGAGGTCAGGGAGCCTGAGGGAGGGACCCCGGGACAAAGCCTTTCTTGGGACCCAGGGCGTGGTCCAAACGGGACATTCAGCACGGAGGTTTGATTGACGGCTTAAAGCAGACGGGCCGAGATCAGAGACGTCACAGTACGCGCGGGAGGAGGCCACTGCAGCAGATCCACAGCCCAGGCCCGGGGCGGCCAGCAGGGCCACTCAGATACGACGTCCGCGGCTGTCCCACAGGGCGGCGGTCAGCAGGGAAAGCGCAGGAGGAGGGTAAGGGATGAGCACCGAGCTCCGACGGAGCACTGGAAGCTGTGTGGAGGGGCTGAGCGCCCAACGCGAGAAAGTACAGCACACGGGACGTGGGAGCGAGCGGCAGGGCAGAGGAGAAAGCTTGCGGAATTCCAGAAATGTAGAACTGAATTTCGGGGGAGGATGCCTTTCTTTCTCCTAACAGATTAAGAAATGCTGCGCACGCTGCCCAATTCATCCAGTGAAAGTGTGTAACCCAGTAACTTCTGGTACAGTTGGAGTCACGATCCCGTGACCACGACCATTTTAGAACTGTTTCGTTAGCCTAGATGAAAATGAAAGCCCTCATCGCCCAGCTGTGACGTGCCGTTTCCCCCAGCCCTGGCCCAGACTCTTCTCCCCAGACTGGCCGTTCTGGACGTTTCCTGAAAGTGACATCACGCCATGCGCGTCCTCACACCTGGCTGCCTTCACTCAGTGTCGTGTTTTCCAGGTCCCCATAAGCAGCACACGTGTGCAAGTTTTGTACGCACGAGAGATCGTTGTGGTGGACTCAGGTTATCCAGGAAGATGGGGTCCTCTCACATCCAGGAGGCCTCTGCGTTGGGTTCCAAGGCCTGGATGCCGTCATCAGTTTCGCCCTCTTATCAGGGGCCAGCGCAGCCTGCTCACCGTGCCCGGGCCCTGCTGACTTCAGCGTGTTGCTCTCTTCTCTTAGCATGAAGGCCCGGAGGACTCGAGCAGCTGGAGGACCAAAGAGAATGGATGACGAGGACCATGTCACGGGTACAGTCGCCTGGGTGAGTCATACGCTGAGGCCCTTTCAGTCCGCTTGGTAAGTTCAGACTGAGCTGCCAGGCCTTTCCCCAAATCCATCCCCCTGCTCACGCGGGAGTCCCTTCTCGCCCAGAGCCCATACATCAATCACTCCATACGGCGCAGTCCTCCTTCTAAATGAACCGGCCCGGCCCTCTGTTCATCCTCCTATCCTGCCCCGACTGACCAGAGTCCACTTCACATCCCCGCCGTCACTTCCCACCCTGGGCCAAGCCTGCCGGTCCGTCTTCCCAGGAGTACTGGCTTCCAGCCCCTCCGGAGTCTCAGCGCTGCCGTCTGATCCCCCACAGAGAACCAAGCCCTCATCTGTGGCCGTGCAGCCCGTTTCCTGCCCTGCGGACCAGCCGCACTGGCCTTCTCCCCACCTTCCCAGGGACCCCTCTGCTCACAGCTCTGAGCCTTTGCACGTACCGTTCGTTCCTCTGAAACGCACTTCCTTCCCTCCCTCCAGCACACCACCCTGTCTAAGCCTCCTAGCTCTGATCTCTCGTCTCCCACCCTGGGGAAACGTTGCCGGTCTCCCCCGTTAGCATCAGTGCCTCCCTTTGCCATGCGTCGATCATGCACCCTGTGCAGATGGGCTCCTTAGGTACAGTTTCCTGTCTCCACCCTCATCGTGTCTGCACAGTTCTTGGGGACGCTGGTTTTCTTCAGTCTTTCTCACTCGCTCCTGTCCAGCGCGTCTCTTCTCTTCTTTTATAAAACTGGACCCTCGCTACCTTGAGTGGAATCACCCAAAGAGCTTGGTTCCCCATCACCCTTCTATTCCTGGGACAACTACTGTTCACCTTTACTTACTCGTTTTTCTTCATAGCACAATGAACAACTGCTCCCACCATCCACTTTAAGACCAAACACCCTGATAATTACTCATATCTTATCTCTGCCCACGTCGCTCCTGGATCCATCTCCAGTAAGCACTCTTCTGAATCTTGTCTTTCTAGTGCCGATGCTTAGTTTTAGTTGTTTCTGAGGCCACGAAGGGTCCCACGAGCCAAGCAGTCTCCTTAGGCTTGCTTGTCGGCTGAATGTTACACTGTGAAGACTCAAATATTATTGCATGGTTTCAGCCGGTTCATTGATCCATTGCATATTTTCTTTTATCATTATGTTGATTATCTAAGCTCACACCGATGGATTTTCAAGTTGCTTCCAGATTGCAAGAATCTTTCTTGGACATTATCCTAGAATTTAATCACTGAGCCACAGTTCTGTAAATGTCCATCTTTAGAAGATCACGAAAATCCTTTTTCAAAGTGGTTGAATCCATTCACTCTCCCATGTCCCCTGCAATTTCCTGGTGGTCACCATCTTTCCAACACTGGGAATCAGGTCAGCTCTTTTTGTCATCTCAAGAGCTCACCACGGTGTCATTTGCTTCTCCTCGGTTGCCATAAGGATGAAAAATCCCTCTACACTTCCCAGGCATCTTCACACCTCCCCCATACAATACCCGGTCACTTCTGGAGCCCATTTTCCCGATAGGTGTTTGATTATTTTTTACATGGCTTTAACAGAAGGCTTTGTATACTAATATCTTTCTCATTATATGTAACATAAATTCCTTTTCATAGTGAGGAGTCTGTTTTCGCTTTCCTTGGGTGACTTCGCATGAACATAAGTCATTATCATATTCACCAACCTTCATTTTTCTTTTTTTTTTCCTTTTTTATAGTTTATTGTATTTCTTTACCCTTTTTATTAGTCTATGTTTGCAGTGCATAATGTTTGCACGTCTTGTGGGGAGTTGGGAAGTGCATCCAACACCTTAATTCCTTTTTGTTTCCTTTTCCTCCCCTCCGTTTTCCTCCCTCCATCTCTTGATCCCCTTCCCATGTGAGAAAGATGCATCTCCCTTCTTCCCCTCATCTACCTTTTCAATCTTCATTTTTCTACTGAGCATCTTTGAGGACTTACTGAAGACTATCTTTCCCATCCTAAGATTAGAAGTGTACTCCTGTGTGGCTTCTACTAAATATTTATGTTTTCCTTTTCATATTGAAGTACTTCGTCAACCTGGAGTTGGTTCCTGCGTGTCACATACAGTGCCGATCCATCCATTCCTCCTTCCTTTTTTGACGGTCCCCTCCCACCAGCCTGCAGTGATCCACTGAGAAGCCTCTTGCATACTGCTGTTCTCTACCTGCGTGAGTCTCTTTTTACTCTCTGAGTCAGAACTGTCTATAGACTCAACAGCCTACAAACTTTTTCAAAAGTTCTTATATCCGATAGGACAGGACCCATCACTGATCTCCTGCAACAGAACCCTGGCCCCTTATCCTTCCATTTAAATATTAGAACCAGTTTGTCAGATTCCAAAAATTATTCCCATCAGTGTTTTCACTGGAATCACAGTGAGTCTATATCTCACTGTGGGAAGAATCTGCACATTATAAATTCAAGTCTTTTTATTCATGGAAACAGATTTCTATTTGTCTAAATCTCTTTTAGCATTTTCAAGAAAGTTGTAGAATTTCTTCACAGAGATTTTCCAAATGTTTCATTTTCTCCCTAAGTACTGCTATTTGCTGCTGTCGTAAATGCTGTCTTTTCAAAAGTGCAATTTCTGATTGCTTGCTGTTGGAATGCAGAATGAAAGTTTTCTTTTTCTTAAGTACAGGGGTTTAGGCTATTGACAAATATCACAAGTTGTTTGGGTGTCATTGAGAATCTCTGCTGCTTTGGTAGTTGAGGAATTCTTAGGAAACCCTAAGCATACTGACCTGTTCTTTTGTTAGAGATGCAGAAAATGTCCTCAAAATTAGCAACGTTTTATTTTAACTGTAATTATTTGCTGAATCAAAGCAGTTGAAGTGCAATGTTATTGCTGTCAAGAATTAACCCATCCTTCTGGACCTCGACACTGAGCAAAAAACATCTGGCCTCATACACACCCTGTACGTGTCTTTTTCTTCTAAGAAGTTTCACATTTCCATAAATGACCCACTTCTGAGTACTCACTTTGGTAGGGAAGTGAGGACGCACGTACACCCGGCCTCCCACAGCAACGGAAGTCTCCGCAATACCTCGGGCTGTGGGCAGGACATGGCTCCGGCTCCTTTCAACACCGCGCCTCACCTTCCCTTTCTGACGCTGTGGTCAGCTTGCCCAGGGCCTTCGCGGTAACCGTGCACCCTCCACGGTGAGGCCACCGCCACGGGGGTCCATTCTCTGGGTGCTGAGAATCACCTTTATCCTTTCTGATACAACAAATGAAACTCAAATTCTATTTTTAAAATAATGTATATACAAAAATTGAGGGTTTTAAAAATAATTTGAAAATTTTAAATATCACATTTTGATTTGGGGAATTATTTAGACTCTTGAAATTTCAAATTAGATGATTATATCATCTGAAAAATTATAACGAGTTATTTCTACCTTATTTATAATATAAAGACATCATTCCTCTTTCTTGTTCTAATATTCTGGCCAAGATTCTAGTCAAAGTCAGATGAAAGTGTGACCATGGGCACCTTTTATTACTCCAGTTTTGAAGGAAACACACTCATCCTGCCAGTTAATTGTTTGCTTTTCGCTCACCTTCATTACCTTAATTACTTTCTATCATTAAATCACTTAAAGTTTTCATCGTACATTTATGTTGAACTTTTCAAGTGACTCTGATAGGACTTTTTAGCTGTTAGCCTTCATCTATACCCTTCATTAATTGCGAAGATTATCTAAGATGAAACGACTTCTCAGTTTCCTGGAAGAACCAAAGTATTCGTGGTGTACATAATTTTGATACTCTGGTAGATTCAATTTGATAAGCTATTTTCCCCTCATTGAGTTTATTGGTACATTTTAGGTATACAGTACAGTTACATTCATCATTGGGATCTTGTACCTTTACACGACAGGTCTTGGTTCTCATTTTTTCCCTTGTCCCTGCCCTCTCTTCACCCCCTCCTCCCCTGCCCATTCAATTTGATAAACTTTTGCTGACAGTTTTGCTACTACATCCATGGGCATGTTCTTTTCCTTTCTTCTGTTAACTTTGGGCATCAAGGTAACTTAAAGGAACTAGAGATTATTTCTAATTTTTCTATTATCCAGAAGAGCATGTAGAAAGTTGGAATGGCTTGTTTCTTGAATGACTAATAGATATCACTTGTAAAACCATCAGGGCCTGGTGTTGTGTCTATGGAGAATTTCTTTATGTGCCATTTTCTAGTGCAATCATTTTATGTGTTCTTTTGTGATTTTTTAAAAGATTTGTTCATTTCACTTAAGTTTTCTTTTTTTCAAAAGGATATGTTAAGGGTATTTTAGTTAAGGGTAATTCTCCTTTTATATTCCTGACATTAGTCACTTCCCTCTTTTTTCTAGCCAAACTTGTTAATTGTTCATCCATTTCATTATCAGTTTCAAAGAACCAACTTTTAGGAATGTTGAATTTTTTTCACCGTATCTTTGTTTTCTGTTGTATTTCTTTTTATTTGCGTTTTCTCAGCATTTTCTATTTGCTTTGATTAATTCTAGTGTTTTCTTACAAAGTTTTAAATTGAATATTCAGCTTCTTAATGTGTAACTTTCTTCTTTATGAAAGTAACTATGGATACGTTTCTCTCAAAATACCACTTGGGCTCCATTTCAAAAGTTTCACCACGTTTTGTTTGGCTGGTTGTCTTGCCATAGAGGAGATCAAACTCAGAGCCTTGGTCACGCTAGGCGAGCACTCTGCCACTGAGGCACATCCCCATCTCATCCATTCTGAAGCTGTTTATTTCGGTTATTTTAACAGCATTCACTTCTGGATATTGTTAAAACCCAATTGTGAATCTTTCTTTGACTCTTAGACTATTTGGCATCACGAAGTTCCTAATGTATGGAGATTTATAAACACCTTTCCATGGAAGAGTCTAGCTAGATGTTGTTCAGTCAAAATGCAAGGCTTTTATGATAACTTTCAAAATTTTGCCGTGACCTGATATGTGGCCTATAACACTTCCTGTGTGTGTGAGAATGATGCATAGTTTAGGTAGTCCCCAAGTCCAAATATTGAATGATTGATCGTCCTTACCTGTCAGTACTTGAGAGAGGTGTATTGAAGTCTTACATTGTGGTAATATATTTGTCAGTTTCTTTCCTTTGTTCTTTTGTTCTTTTTTTTGATATCAGGGATGGAAGTCAGGACCTTGCACTTGCCAGGTGCAGTGCCCCTGAGCTACACCACTGGCCCTTCTTCCCTTAGATCTATGACATGTATTTCTTATAGCTGATGTGCTTTAAAATTAAAATCATTTTAGAAGTATTAAATCTCAGCAAATTGAACATTTCATCACACATAGTGATCCTCTCTATCCTTTTGTGGTAAAGTATGATTTGATATTAATATAGTTACACCAGTTTGTGACTGGTTACAGCTTGATATTTTTTCAAATGTCTTTCCCACCAAAATTTTATGTGCTTTGGCTTCAATGGTGATATTTTTGTATAACCAGGTTTTTAAGAATGAAATTTTAGACATTTTGTTGAGCTTGTGCTATTGCTATCAGTATTTATTATGGGTTTTGACATATGGAGATGTCTCTTTAATTTACCTTTAACTATCATTTGGTTCCACTTCCTCAGTATTTCATCTTTTTTGTTCTTCCTTACTTAAAAATCAATCCCTGGGTTTTTGGTGTGTGTGGTAATGGGGTCTGAGTCCAGGCCCACTGCACTGAACTACAACTCCAGCCAGCTTTTTGTTGTTGTTTTTTTTTTTCCCTGAGCTTCCCTAGTGGGTTCCTGTCTCAACCTCCCAGAGTTCTGGGGTTACAAGTGTGGGCTATGACACCTGGCTAATCCCTCTGTCTCATACCTAAAAGAACTTCGATGTACTTTTATCATCTTCTTAACTCTTGATCTCTCTTCTGCTCTCTAAAATATCAACATATTCTCTGCAGATCTGCAAATAACTAATTCTGGGTTATCACTAATATACCTAAGATTTTCTATTCATTGTCTTTTTAAATATGCGCTTCAGGTTTTACTGAAATATTCTGTCTTCATTATATCTCATACATGTCACAGGAGTTCCCTGTGTGCGCCCCCCCCCTCCACCTTCCTCCTTCCCTCCCTTATGTACTGAGGTTTCTCAGGATTTGTGTGTCTCTGAAAATATTTTTATATCCCTATGTTTGAATTTAATTTGCCAGAATATAAACTCTAGGATCAAACAGCCTATCAGCCATCTTCTCCTCAGGAACTATGTGCTGCATTTCTCTGTATTTTGGCCTAGAGGTCCAGATATAAACTAGCCCTGCCCTGCTGAGAGTCCACGGGATATGATTTCGTACACATTCAGCATGCCTTCCACAGGACAGTTCTGGTGAAAGCCTAATGCCAAATTCCAAGCCACGAGCAGGGTCCCTCTCCCAGGAAACTTGTTCATGCTGCCAGATGCCCCGTGTTTCATCTGGCAGTGTCCATTCCATTCCTACCAAGTTAGCTGCTCTCCGGGACAGCCCTGGCCAGGAGGGAGTCAGGTTTGGCCATGTCAGTCGGGTGAAACAGTGGAGGCAACCAAAGCAACTTTCTTACTTACAGACCCCGGAGAGAACAGGGCAGCACGCTTTCACAGGACCAGTGGGAAGAAGGGGTGGTGGGAAGTCGTGAAGCCTAAAACGCCTTTATTGGGGTCCAGGGTGTTATCTGAGTAGGTTTCCCTTGGGAATTCTAATGGGTGGGTTTAGAAACAAGTGGAATTCTGTGGAGTCGTGCTGTGACTGAGACGCAGATCCTGCACTGGCCATGTGGGATGCGGTGGCCAAAGGGTCAAGTCGAGTAAGTTGTATCTCGATGTCCCATGGGGAAGTGGGCACCGGGAGGTGGTTTATAAGGCAGATATCCAAAGTAATCACCTGAGGAACTGGGAGGAGGTGAGAACAAGAAACTGTACCAAGGATGAGAGAGTTCAACGTATACTCAAAATAGATGCTGAGACAATGAACACTATAACTTGGCTTTAAGAATTCACACCACCCGTACCTCTATGTTCCTGCTGTGACTGCCCTTTCTCCCCTTCAGGATTCCAAGCAGAAGCCCTGGCCAGACAACCCTCAAACGAAAGCGCCCCCTGTTGGAGATGACTTGCCTGGCGGGGAACAACAGGAACTCCATTATGCCTCTCTCAGCTTTAGGGAAATGAAGTTTTGTGATGTGAAGTCACAAGAGCCTCCGAACCACAAGGCCACAAGGAGCACAGAGTAGTACTCAGACATCAAGACAAGCAAGTGAAGATGCACCCACGGGTCCACGCTGGCAGGAGGATGCACAGCCTGTCTGGGGGAAAGGAGAAGTCAGGGACTAACTATTGGCACATGAAGAGCTCTGGGGACAGTGTCAACCTTATTGTTAAGAGCATCCCTAGAAGGACAGCTGACCGGGATTAGACGGACTTGGGTTCAAACCCCCAACTCCAGGACTAAGACTTTGTTATTAAGCAGTTCACTTCATCTTTCTGTGCCTTGGTTTCCTGTTCTGTGAATCTAAGATCATGTGTGCCACCTAAAATTGTTATGAGCATTAAATAAACCACACTGGGAAAGAGGTCCTGTCGGGGTGAGCTCGGGGCTCCCTTCACCAGAGAGGCTCCCACGGGCGAGTCTTCCGAGCTGGGTGACCAGGTGCAGAGAAGCCGGCAGCAGCACACTGGCATCTCTGCCCTCCCCAGAACTCTTCACAGCCTCGCCGGGAAAGACTGGGATTTGATTTATGACGTGGCATCTGCTGTCTTCTGCAACCTCTTTGCCCCACCTTTATCTGCCCATCCTTCCAACATATCTCTTCTGCTCCATTTCCTTCCTCATCTCATTCATGAGATGGCCAGAGAGGCCATCTAGCAGCCCAAGGGCTGCGCCAGACTCTGCCCTGCTCAAATGGATTCGTGACTCCCTGGCTGTAACGATACACAGCACGCACCGCCTCTCACATTTGAAGTCCTTCATAATCTGCCTGGTACCCACTCACCCATGGTCTCTTCCCGGCTCTCCTTTCCCTAAACTTCTCACGCTGGTTCCTTTCAGGGTGCTTATGATTTCAAACCTCCCCCTGGAAGCCACACCACTTCACTTTCATCTGGTTTGCACCATCTTGTTCTTCAAATCTTGGTGCAAAGTCAGACTTGCGTGCGTAGGCTGCAGACGGAACCCATACGCCCCTTTCTTTAAGGCTGAACTAATTTAGATCTTTAAGTGCTAAAACAAACACAAGGAAAGATTTTAAGCAGCACCCAAGCTTAGAAAAATGGCATGGTTAATTCTTGAACTTTATAGAATCCACAAGGAAAGGAGTGGAGGAATGCCGGGGTAGTACTAGAGGACACTGATCCCAAATCTCCACTCTCCAAACCCCATTTGCAGTACTGTCAGTTGAGCTGTGATTTTTTTTTAAATTTTAATTTTTTGGTACTTGGGATCGAACTCGGGCCCTTGTGCTTGCGAGGCAGGTGGCAGAAAAAAATGAGCTAAATCCCCGGCCCCTGAGCTATGATTATTACTTTGGGTTTTTGAGTCAAAACATTTAGGGGTACATTTTAGGTGTACATAACGATAATACTCATCATAGGGAATTTGCTATAATGTTTATTATGACAGACTTAACCATTCTTATCGAGCTTCAGGTTGAAAGCAACAAAATCCTCTGGGGGGAAAAATGAATAGAGGAGAAGCCTCCACTCAAAGAGTATAGAAAACCTGAAAGGAAAATAGGAACTACCTAGGCTACAAGTTGGGGGAAAGTATGAACCCAGAGAACTAAGCAGATCTAAGATGAAATGACAAAACTCTCAAAAGTCATTTGCTTATATTGAAAAATGTGAATTTTGGTCTTGTAGTCTTGCATGTGGTCCTAGAAATGAAAGTCCAGACTCTGGCCCTGCCTCGGATGGGAAGTTTCACAGGAGAATATCCTCACGTTGAGTTTGCATTGGGTTCAGGGAAGTCAAAACCAAAGACAAGGAGAAAATCTGAGCAACTATGAGAAAAAAGACAGATTACCTTCAGAAGGAGAGCAGTTTAATGGACAGCTGAATTGACAGTGATGACCACACAGAGCAGGAGGAAGAACTATCTTTAACATCAATATGTAATCCATATTTCACAGAGAAGCTCAAATGAAAATCCAATAAAGAACTTTTGAAGCAATGGGCCGGGGATTTAGCTCAGCGGTTCGGTGGCCTGCTTCGCAAGCGCAAGGACCTGAGTTCAATCCCCGGTACCAAAAAAAAAAAAAGAACTTTTGAAGCAAATAAATGGGGAAATTTATTATCTGAGGAATAAATCAAAAGATAGTTTTAGAATTCTTGACAATAATAAGCTAAGTACAAATGGAAGTAAGAAGATTTACATTTCCCAATATCTACATATTCTGCCAAAGGAGAGAGAGGTTTTCAATTACTAAATACTTCAGTAAATTAATTGTGCATGCTGTAATTTTTATGACAATGACTGAAAGAGTTAGAATCATAGTATGCAACTAACAATAGTTAGCGTACTATAAAAACTTAGTCAACTGAAAGAAGGCAACAATGGGGAGATATAAAGCAATGTAAATTGGTGACATGTATTAAAACCAATTTAATATGGAATATTTATGTGAAATACAATTGGATAAATGTTTCAGTTAAAAACAATCAGCTTGGATTAATATTTCAACTGCAGGTGCTCACCAGTTTAAGATGGGATTATTCTCAATGAATCTATTCTAAATTGAAAATATCATAAATTCAAAATGCTTTTAACACACTTAATCCACTGACCACTACAATGAATTGCACAGCACACTATACAATGCGTGCTGTTCACTCAGAATTTCTGACTGGGGGAGGTGGCATCCCTGGCACTGCCCAGCACCACGAGATGGTACTGTGTTGCCTAATGTAGCACAGGAGAAGGTCAAAGTTTAAAATTCAAACTACATTTTCTACCAAGTGTTTATTACTCTTGAGCCAAAACAATCAAAAGTCAAACCCTGAAATGCCAAGGATCATCTTTACATGGTCTTCAAAACATCTTTACGTGGTCTTCAAAACACGTAAAGTGTAACAACAAGGAAGGCAAAATGCAAAAAGGAAACACATTGTATATTATGTCAACATTCACGAAAAGAAAATTTGCGTATTCTACTTGATAACTCAAAATACACATTACCAGTGTGGTGCACAATACTGAGAGTTCAATGCCAGCCTGAATTACAGGGTGAGACCTTATCTCAAAAACAAAACCAAACCACATTACTACCTTGCTCTATATGAAATGTTAAAGTACTCATTTATATTTAAGGATATACACACAAGTACTATGTTTACAGGCAAAGGCAGGAGAAAAAGATGATCTCAAATCTTCACACAGGCCAGGTAACTCATGAAGATTGGATTGGACGGGAAACAGAGGGGTTTCACTGGGTGCCTTCACATTCTGTCTCTTGAACTGAGAGGTGATTATACACTGTGAATGGTAAGGATATTTTTCATAACAAAATACATGAAAATATTGCTAGCTAGGAGACAGCTGATGTTCTGATAGCCATCTTTCATTGACAAGTTTGAAAAAAATAATTTTAAGACAATATGACCACAATTAACTCAAGGAGCAGCCCAGGGCAGGAATGTTGGAAGGAAGCCGCCTGGCAGAAGGGGAGCGACCCAGGACCCCCAGTCCCCAGTGCCCTGCCCCACAGGAACTCCCAGGGGCCTGTGGGGCGACGGTGTCCGCCTCAGCTTACAGACAAGGCACCGCGGCAGTTCCGCAGAGCAGGTTTGCTCTGACGCGGGTGCCGGGCCAGCGCTGAGTGCAGCGTGCGGCCACAGTGAACACCTCGAGCGGTCCTCATAGTAGTTTGCTTCACAAATCAAATTTCTAAATCCTGGGTGCAATCAGACAACATGCATCTTGCTAACAGCTCACAGTTTCCACCCCAAGGTGGGAAGGGAACACATTTTACCAGTATTTCTGGTTATCATCACTGATCTCTGCACGCTCTCCAGTTAGAAGCTCAGCTTCTCCCAGCCTCCTCCACAGCTGACCTGATATTCTCCAGAAGTTACGTTCTCCCTGCAGTTCACACCGGGATCTTACTCTGCAGTGCTGGGTGACTAGCTTGGTAGCTCCCCTAAGACACGAAGAAATTCACTGGGCAATTCCTCCTCTCGGGACCTTGCCGTGGAACGTGCTAAGTGACAGCTGCTCAGTAATCGTGGGCTGGGCTGCGTCCACTGGAAACGGAGTGTCCTGGACCAGTGAGAAGACAGCGTCAGGAGACAGTCCTCGGAGACATGACCTTGAACCTGGAGATTCCCCCTCTACTGGGCAGCTCTCCTACTCTTCGCTGGGCTGCCATTCCTAGAGTATGGCCTGTTGGCCCATTTTTTCAGATGGAAAAAAAATTTTTTGTTTTTTTGGTATGGGGGATTGAACTCGGGTCCTTGTGCTTGCAAGGCAGGCCACCGAACCACTGAGCTAAATCCCTGGCCCTGGAAAACTTTCCTAATGTTTATCTTCTGTAATTTGAGGGGGGGCAATCTGGGAGCAAGGTGACCCAGGAGCACTCTGTCTCTGGTACTGGGTGAGAGTGGCTGCACTTCCACTCCCAAAGATGCACCAGTGATGTGAGAGACCCTGTGAAGGCCACTTACCATGTCAAGTCTCGGCTTTTCACTGTCCAATGACGTAGGGTTTTGTGCGTGTGTGTGACTCTGGAAATTGAACCCAAGGCCTTCACAATGAGCTACAGTGGAGTCACTAGGCCCGGCTCAAATAAGAATTATCAAGCAACCTCTCTCAGAGATTGTGAGAGTTTGATGGAGCAATATATAGAAAGGCACATCCTGGGCCTGGCACTCAGGGAGCTCCAGTGAACACCCATCTGTTTCTTCATCTCTTGCAACTTAACTTGCAACTTAAGCGTGACCTGAGGACCAGAAACATCAGTGTAATACAGAACTTCAGAAAAGTTCCTTTTTATTCCTGTCCCTTTATCAGTCACCAGAAATTCTAAAGAATGAACCGAGGGTAACAAGAGGGTTGGGAGGGGAAACAAGGAGATGGCTCTTCCCACTGCCACTTCCTCCCCAGCTCCCTTCCAAGAAGGACCCTGCTTTTTTTGAAGCCCTCTGGCTCAACTCTTCTGCTGGCCTGAGCCTCAGGACCTTGGGCCCATGAATTTGGGTCCAGGGCACTTACAGCGAGTTGCCTCAAATCAGCCCGGCTGTGGATCAGCACCGCGGAGAGCTCCCAGACGGCAATTTGGTGCATCCCAACTCAGGCACGGTGGACGGAGCGCCCTCTGCAGACAGAGCTCGGCTGTCGCAGATTCAAACTAAAGGCGGTGGAGTGGGGTTGGTGACATTCTGTCCTCAGGACAGAGGTGCTGCTGGTAAGGGGCGTCCAACCTCCTCCTCCGTCTCCCCCGAATGTCCCCGACCTCGCCCTCGGAAGGCTCAGCTTCGGAGGCATCTTCCTCACAGACCACTTCTTTGCTGTCAGGGCTGACTCTTCCCCTCTACAAAACTGTGTCGGGTTCCTTCCCTCCT